TCTCCCACAAACAGTATCTATTCCCTTAGACATTTCTTCCTGCTTCCCAGTTACATCTATTAACAAACATGGAACAAATAAGTTATGAACAGTGGCCATTAGCTCAGCAATGAACAGGGCACAAATTGAGACAAAGTCTTTATCTTTTTGGGGTTTACAGACATGTAAGCAAATAAATTGAAGCACAGAACAAATTCAACAACAAAGTGACCTGGAAGAGGGGGGAGCATGGAATCAAGAGTGTCATCAAATCTATCTTTGCTTTTAAGAGAAGGCTTTTTGGAGGATGTGCCTTTTGAGAATGGTCTTGGAGAATAAAGAGCTTACTGAGGGACAAGTAAAGGAAGTAATTCCACAGGAGGAAAGCTGTTCTGAGGACAGGTGCACAGCAGAGCAGCCCAGACAACAGTAATGAGTAGTTGAGCCTTGCTACAGGGCCGAATGAAATGTGGGCCACACCAGGAGAAGAGAAGAAGGCACCAGCCACTTTGGGAAAGTCAGTCTTGCAGCCTGTGGGTGAGGGCAAGAGATGGCCACCAGTGTGTCCAAAGAGCAGAGTAACCAGGAGAGATGCTAAGTAGGGAAGAGGTCTACTTAGCCCTGCTCGTAAAAATACTAATTACTCTAGATTTCTGGGGCAGGGAATGAAAGGGAAACATATAGGTAGGGAGTAGCTGGGTTATTCAGAGCAAAGAGATTTTTGCAGTAGTCCCTGTAGGAGGTCACAGGGCCTGAATTCCGTCAGCAGGAGTCAAGGGAGGAAAAAAATAGGTTCAAGTGATTTCTTGGAGGTAAAATTACTCACCCTTAGAGATCGTGGCTTTCCCATAGGAACCCCCTTTTCCCCCAGACAGCAAGTCTCTTGCCAGAGTCTGGCAAAAGAGTGGGAAATTCATAATGGCTCGATGACAGCGTGAAGGGCAAAAGTCATTCTGTCACCCTCTTCTCTGCAGACTGGGGCACACGGAGCAGGAGATCACTGAGCTCACCGCCACCGTCACGAGATTTGACCAAGATGGGAATCATGTCCTGCATGAGAGGGAGAAGGAGCAAATGCGACAGGGTCTGGGAGAAGAGAGGGTGAGCCCAGCTGCTCGGGGAGAGTGTCAGGAAGGCTCCCCCTCCCCTCCCTGTCCGCACACCCAGAGCACGAATCCAAAGCGAGAGTCTTCCATAAATGGACAGGAAGCGACTCTCTGGAACAGTGGTTCTCAAACTGCTGCACATTAGAACACCCTGTGAGCTGTTCAGGATCTTTACACTCAGGCTAGCATCTCTAGGGGGCTCAGACATCCATCCGTACTTTTTAGAAGTTCCCCAGTGCACAGGCAAGGCTGAGAGCCATTGCCCCAAAACAGTGTTGGGGGAAAGGGTCCATTGCCCCTGAGCCCTGGCGATTCCTTCTGAGGAGATGCCTTCTCTGTGATTTTCTAAGCCTGATCCCAAGCTGCCCTGAGGTGCCTGCTCCATCCCCAGCCGGGGTAGAGCAAAGGCCAAAGGCAGGAGGACACGGGTGCAGGGGTTCTGGTGCTGTGCCTCCTCTCCCAAACTGAGCGGGCTCTAGTGAACACCTCCTTATGGAGGCTGCAGGAGCCTGTGTCTGATTTCTGTGGGAGGTGGTTCCTCCCCAGCTTGGGCCAACTCTATGACCAACACCACCACTGTGACCCTGTATCCCCCGAGTGTGAGAAGGAAGGGGAAGAGCCCGGGGCCTGGTCCTGGGAGTCCATGACATCAGGCATTGAAACAGGAACGATGGTCTCCCCATCACTTTCCCTTCTCTGACCTCTGACCTCCTTGTCAAGGTGGCTCTCAACACTGGGATGGAGACCCTGAGCTGCTGTGTTGTGAGTAGCCCACCAGGAGATTTGGTTCCAGAGGCTGACAGAGCAGGTGGCTGGGTTTCAGGAGAAGAATTCTACAAGTACGTGAAGCCAGAGGCCCAGGGCTGACTTTGATGATAAAATCCTACCTTGATTTTCTTTGCACAGGCTTCTAAGCCCCTATCCTAGTCCAAGAATGTCCTTTAATGCTTTAATGTCCTTTAATGCTCCCCACAAAGTAGGCCTCCCCTTCCTTGCTCCCATTGAGATATGCATCATTCTATTCCCCCAAAATACACACTCTATAGATACCCGCCCCCAACCCCTGATTCATATTTCTCCTCCCTTGGGATCTCTCAAATCTTGCACAGACTCACAAGGAGAGTCCTGCAGCTAGAGTATATCTTGGAAAGAGTTATATCCCAGGTTGACGCTGTGGGTTCAAAGCTGAAGATGCTGGAAAGGAAAGGGCCACCTGCCCCTTCCCAGGAAAGGTGAGTGGCCCTTCACCCGGGTCTTCTTAGCTCCCCACAGCCAAACTCTACAATCATTTCCACTAGGGGTGAGAGAGAGACAAAAATTTGGAAAGACCTGTTTTCAGTTTTCTGGGCAACATGTTCTTTAGAGTAGTCAATATATCAGCAAAGGTGAAGGGTGGAGGGAAGACCCAAATTTGGTTATTCTGGTCTGAGAAATACCTTGGCTTTGGTGTGGGGCTGGAGAATCAGATCCAGATAAAAGGAAAGTGGGACACCATTTCCTCCTTCCAGTGACCTGTACCTTTTTTATTCTAACAGGGAGAACAAGGTGTTTGGGAGCACCTGCAGCCAGCCGAAGCGGTGACTCCAGCCTCCTGGGGAGGCAGGAATGGGCAGGAGAATGGTGGGGGAGGGGTCCTAAAGCACCAGACAGCAGGCCCCTCTCTCACCGCCTCCCGGTAGTGCCCTCCGCACACGCCCTCCACTTGTAGGGCAGCTCCCACGTCTGCTGCTGCCAGCGTCCAGCCCAGTGTCTGTCTGGCCTTCTGAGTCACTGTGTCTGTAGGCGCCTGTCATGCTTGGGCCTGTGATTCAGCCTTTGTCTGTGGTCTGTGTAGCCACGTAGCCTTGAAGCTCTCTGAGACATTTCCCTCCAGACCTCTCCATTACCACTAAGTCATGAAAGATTAAAAAAAAAAAAAAAAAAAAAAAAATTACAAACAAAACGAAGGAAGGGAGAGCATTGAAATTGAAATTCCCTGTGTACTCAGAGAGCCATGATTTGTGAAAAAGCAGAAAGCAAATGAATGCCAGTATCTAGACCTCTTCCTACCAGCAATGAATCTTATCCTTTGTGTGTCTAGAGATCTGCTGCTAGTATCTCTGGGGTTCTTGTCTTCCCCCTAGTATCCCTGAAAAGGACGGGGAAGCCTGAGAGGAGAGATTTACTCACTTGGGGGTTTGGGGGGGGGGAGATGAAAAGTTGCATGGAGCTGGAGCTGGAGTGACGTCCCCAGGACATAGTCCACCAAGACTCAGTGGAGGACCTGCTTCCAGCATACCACTGAACATTGGCAATTTAGGAGGCTGTAACCCAGGAGCCTAATGCGGAGCCTGAGGAGAACCTGGCGATGAAATGGCCTCAGGAATCCAAGAACTTTGTGCTAAATGTGCTGGGCTCTGTTTTCCATAGGAGAGTGTGGGTTTCCCTGCTGACTATTAATAAAAATCTTTACGAAAACAGGACTATGCTCTTGCATTGTGATGGCAAGGGGAAAAGAGAGGCTGGAACTGATCCATCCTGGTCTTGGGCTGGAGAAAGCTCACCCCCAGGAGCTGTGGAGTGGGGGTGTGATGATGTGAAGGAGCTGGGTTGCTCTAGGTCCTGAAATAAGAACCTGTGGTTCTGAAGAGTGGCTTGAGGTCCCTCCCTGGTGGCACAGCGGGTTAAAGCACAGCACTAAGAAGCTAAAGCCTCTTCCCCATGAGTTCGATTCCGCATGAGTTCGATTCCGCCTGCCCGCCTGCCCGGGAGGAGATCCGCATGGCGCGGCAGACCTCTCCTGACCTGCCCGCTGCTCCTCTCAGCAGTGTACTTCGTCGATCTGCTGTTCTGCTCCCCTCTCTGTCTCTGGTGAATCCTCTCACCCTCCACATCTCTGGCCTGTACCCCAGTTCCATATGAATAAATAAAGAAACCTTTAAAAAAAAAAGTGGCTTGAAATGGTAGGTGCTGTGATTGCACCGCTAGAGATTGCAATTAGTGACCTAGGGAGATCTCCTACATTTAGAAAGAGTAAAGTGGCCCTTACTTTGGGGTCCAGAGATCCCTGTTGTGACCCTTGTCTGGTGTGGGAAATGAGCGTGTGGGTGGAGGACAGCAAGGGAAGACGGTAAGATAAAACATTCCTGCACCAAAGATTTTGGGTGTTCAGGACTGCATGGGAAAACCGGCTACATATATACACCCTCCCCCTTCCCCTATGACCTTTATTCCTTCCTTATTTTGCACTTTCTTTTGCTCCCCAGTAGACTTTCATCCATTCCCTTCACCCACCAGTTCTAGCATTCCATCAAGCACATCCAAGCTGTGAGGCAGTCAATGTAATTAAGACAACCAGAGTAGATTCCAGATCTGAAATAAAGTATCACCTTAAAAAATAAAGGATGATCTAAGCTTTCTCCAGAAAGGCGGTATCAATTGAAGAGAAGTGGGTACCGGCCAACAGCTTAAGCAAAAAGAACCAATAAGTTTCTGTAAATAGGACCCTGGAAGAAAAAATACTTTGGGTCAGGGGTCGATGTCTGAAGGCGTCCCAGAGCCTGGATAGGACTACTTCCAAATACGAGGATTCCTGAGCAGTGTTTGGGCACTCCAGCAGTCCCTGCTGGGGTGGGGCATCTCGGGGTGGGGGGCAGTAAGTTAGTTCAGTAGACTTTGGTCAGGGGACACCCCGGGTCCACCCTCCCCAGATACGTTTTGCTAATCTAGTGACACCTTTGGGGCATGGCTGCAGGGAGTCGCGGCACATCCTAAGTTCTAGAAGCCGCGAGTATTAACTGTGGATGGGCTCAAGACGGCGGCTCGCGCGCCCACGCCGTAGTGACCGCCCGCCACCCCGCGGAGCCCAGAGGCGGAGGGACACCGGGGCGGATGGGCACGCGGCGCGCATGCGCAGACACCCCGAACCGGAAGCCGCAAGGGTCCGGCATGGCGGCGGCTGCTGAGGGTGTCCCGGCGCCTCTACGGGAGGAGCCCGCGCGAGGTACCCTCCCTGCACGACGCTGAAATGTCCAGGGGGAGGTCGGGGCCCCTGAGTAGGGGCCCTGGATGGCGGGGCTCACCAAGCAGGAGCGGGCAGGTGGGAGGGGTGCACTCGTGCGTTCCAGAGCGTTTGTGCTGTCAAGGAGACTGGGTCTGGCCGCCGGCTTGTCAGTGAACTGAGGGGTCAGAGGGTGGCGGAGAGCTGGCGCGTTGAGTGGGGCGAGGACGAATGAGGGACTTGAAATTCTGGCAGAGAAGGGAACCGATCGAGGGAGGACAGGTGGAGGGGTGTGCGAAGAGGCGGCTGTGGATGGATTAGGACCCAGTGGAAGGCGGGCACCCCTTCTCTCTTGACCCAGACGATGCCGCGGTGGAGACAGCTGAAGAAGCAAAGGAGCCTGCGGAGGCTGACATCAATGAACTCTGCCGGGACATGTTCTCCAAAATGGCAACTTACCTGACTGGGGAACTGACGGGTGAGGTGTGGTGAGGGTTGACTGCGGTAGCTTGGTGCACCTCTCTGGAACGGTGGGAGAGGGGCGAGATGCTTTTGCAGTACCTGTCGGTGCTCAGGTTCCCAGAAACACGCCTGTGGAAAGTTTGGGGAGGTCATGAATGAGACGGGTCATGCCTGCTCCGCCCATTCCTCCCCCGGAGAAATTCACGGAGCACTTTCAGAATCAGAAATGAATTAATACGGCTTCGCAGAACTCCATAGTGTAGGCTAAAACAAAACAAAAAAGCAAATGTGCCCCTGTGGGAAGTGTATTCTGAGCACAGTCGTGAAGGGGATGTTTGGAAAGAAAGAGGTTGAGGACTAGTGAATGGAATGGTATAAACCGCGGGTGTAGTTGTTTTGGCTAAAGTGGGTGTATTTACTCGACCAAAGAGAAATTAAATTGGGGAGTAGGGTGTGCCCTGCAGCTTTAGAGACCTGTTAAGTTGGTTTGAGGATTTGGTGACCCAGCCTTTGTGTTTCCTGGTGAACATATAAGCCATGTGTGGAGGAGGGTCTAAAAAATGGAGTCTGGTCCAGTGTGGCCTCTCCTAAGCATTTATTATAATGTTTTGTTTTCCCAGGAAATTTCCCAGCTAAACTTGGAAATCAGAATCAATAAGAAAGGCTTAAAACAGACAAGGAAGGCTTATCAGTCTGACTACTTATTACCAAGAGAGACCAAGTAATAAAATCTAGATTCCTGCCTTTTTTTTTTTTTAAGTTGTAGCAATCTGGCAATAGTAACTGAGGCTATAATTGACTAGAACTGAGCACTTGCCTCTTTTAAATGGTTTAGTGATGTGCAGGGAGTACACTCCTGTTTTCTTTCTCTTCCACTATTCTTATATTGTGGTTTTTTTAAAAACAATGTTGTTTTAAAAAACCAATGACACTCTGTGATAGGGTGATGGTGAAAGGAATAGGAATTTATAGGACTTGTTGAAGTGTTCAGGGATTGAGGAATGGGAGCAGCCTGACATGTGTCTGGGATTTTAAGCTTTTGTGGTGAGATCAAGATAGAGAAGTAGGAAAGAGGAACCATGTCTTGTGTAAAATAATACTTTCAGTTTTGGCCTAACTGATTTTAGATATTATCAGGATACTCAGATGACTATTATCAGAATACTCAGGCCACTTGAACATGTGAGTCCAGAGTTTAGGACGTGCTCAGAGCAGGAGAAATGGATTGGGAATCACCTGCAAGGTGGTGTGGGTTGTGCAGGATGAGATGCCATGGATTTGCTTAGAATGCAGATAAAAGGGTCTGGACTAACATTTCAGGGAAAAGTGCCATTAATTTTCCTTTAATTTTAGTACTAAGGTCCCTAGGTGTTCAACTGATTTATTTATTATAAAAATAATGTTAAGTAGATTATAATTTTCCTGTAATTGTCATTCTTTCTTGCACAAGTGCTTTTTTGAGTTTGAAAAGAGGCCAGCATAATCTTAGGAATGCTCATGGGATGTGCCACCCATGTAAATATCAGTCATGTGTCACAATTGAGGAAAAGCTGAGAACTAGTAGTTAAGAGGCTTGGATAAGAAAGGATTTGACGCAGAAAGTGAAAAGAGCAGTTAGAGATTAGGAAACCCAGAGCAGTACAATGCCGGAGCAGCCGAAGGAAGTGAACGTTTTAAGAGAGCTAGCTCAGTGGTGTCAGCTACTGTGGTGAGCCATGATACCTCCGAGCATGCACTTTCTCTGGATGGCAGGGGGAGAGGTCCGATTTCCAGGGTGTTTATATGGTGAGGAAAAGGAAGCAGTGAGTATAAGCTGTTCCTGAAAGTTACTAGTGTGAAGCACCTTTGCCTTATTGAGCAAATAGTGTAGGTTTGGCTGAATGGAGAGAGTGCTTTGGGTTAGAGAAACCCCAATGGAAATATTTCTAGGTAGAGAAGGTGTCAGCATGGAGAGAGAGAACTTGAAAATGCAAGAGAAAGGAGGTGACCGAGGAGAGGTCAGAGGTCGGAGAAAAGAGGTCCTGAGGAGTGGAGAGTTTGGGATCAAGAGCCTATGAGGAGGAGCTGTTCTGGCAGGAGCAGGAACACATCTGCTGCTTGGGAAAATATGCTACAGAAAAGTTTAGACAAGAGGCAGAAAGGTTGAGGGAGCTGATATAAATGGGCTTGGCTATTAGGAAAATTTGAATAGAGGCCAGTTGTTTTGAGTAGGGTGGGGAAGGGAAGTGAGATATGAAAAGAAGGGAAATGGTTTGTGCATAAGACACAAGATGGAATCATGGCAATAAATGATTTACTAAATAATGCTAATTGGTTTTACATATGTATGATGCTATCTTCCACATGACATGTTTCATGTTATAGAGCTGATAGGACTATGTTTTGCCTCCCTTTTTTTGGGCACATAAGTTTTTCCTTTACCTTTCTAGCCAAGACCCTTAAGCTTCCAGTTCTTACGTGGTTGTTGATTATTGCCTGAGTCTCTAAGTGTTCTGAGTACACAGGTCGAGTATAAATATCATAGGTCAAAAGTCACCTGATCCTTTGACATCCCCCAGGTCCAGCCTTGAACAACCACTTGACCTATAATTTGTCATTCCAGTGACCTGAGATCTAATCCTAAAGGCATCCTATCTTCTGTTTATTTTAAAGCCACCAGTGAAGACTATAAGCTCCTGGAAAATATGAATAAACTAACAAGCCTGAAGTATCTTGAAATGAAAGATATTGCTATAAACATTAGTCGAAACTTAAAGGACTTAAACCAGAAGTGTAAGTAGTAAAGTCTGTAACTAAACATGTTCTCTTGTGCTTGGGGCTGTGGAGAAGGGGAGGGAACATGGCCCTTGTCCTCAGAGAGCTCATCTCCTCCAAGCGAATTACAAAGTAAAGACTCACTTCTTCCAGGCTGAGGATTAGCATGTTTTAGGGGCGTGGTTGTTTCTGCTTCTGAATCTTGATTTGATTAGTTTATTCCTGAAAAGTGACTAGATTCTAGAATGAAACAATGAAACTCATAACAATGAAAACTCATAACAATGAAACTCATAAAGGATTACTTTACAAACAGAAAACTAGAACATCTATAAATGGAAAATGCTAATTAGAATGGCAAACTAGCCTTTTCCATTTTCATTTGTGTTCCCTGTCTCTAGTGTACACTTTCTTTTATGCGAGTATCCACGGGATTGAATCAGGAATGGGAAGGTTGCTTTGAGAGCAGTGCACGTAAAAGAGGAAAACTGGTGGATGAGTGGGACTTACTTTGTTTCGCTCATGCCTGGTCACTCTAGCAACTGTTTTCTCAAGCATCTGCCCTGCTAGGGAGCAGAATCATGTTTCCCCAGCTTGTCTGCCTTAGGGAGAGCTGGCGAGACACTCACATTCCTACTTTCCCACTCTTGTACACTCCTGGCTGATGCTGTGTAAACATGTGACCTGTCTTTGTTTTTAAAGATGCTGGGCTGCAGCCTTACCTGGATCAAATCAATGTAATTGAGGAGCAAGTAGCAGCTCTTGAGCAGGCAGCCTACAAGTTGGATGCATATTCAAAAAAACTGGGTAACCATTTTTGTTTCTGTTTTGATTTGATGCCAGTATCACCTTAACTAATACGATAGGTAATATTTATGGTGTGCCTACAAATACCTATTTTAATTTTCACAAAAGCTTCATGAGAATAACTTTCCTTAGTAGAGAAAAAATCATTTTCTGATTATTTAGTGCTATCTCAGATGCTGTTCTTAGGACCTTGCATGCATTACATTTTTTATCTTCCCAATAACCTACCAGATGAGTACATGGTTTTCATCCCTACTTTATAGAGGAGAAAACAGGTTGAAGTGTATGGAAGAGCTTGTATATATGTGGTGCAGCAGGCTGGAGCATCTTGAATAATACAGATACATACCTTACAGGAAACAATGGCCAATCTGGGTTTTCTTGATAGAGTACTTTCTCTTTAAGGACGCTGGTAGTTTCAGAGTTCATGACTTATTAACTAATTGTGGCGCTTGTATTTTTATTTTAAATTAAATTTTAATTATTTTTGTCCATGGAAAGGATAATTTGGTTTAGTTCTAAGTATAATTTGCAGATTATTTTATTTTCATCAACAATGGTTTTGCTTCTTCATGAGAATGGGTTGTAGCTGACTGAGATTTGACCAGATGGTTACATGGTGGTGATTAACAGTCTCACTGCCCACACTTGACTTTACCAAATAGTTACTGCGAACCTCAGTAGATAGAAGGTGTTGTACCAGGCACTTTGGCACTTCAAAGAAAAAAGAAACCCATCACATTAAGAGGCTTACTTACTAGTCTGATAAATCTGTATCTTTCAGAATTGCTTTCCTAGAGTGAGGGCTAGAGAAAATAAATAAAGGTGGGAACATACATTTATATTTCCTGAGAGTTTCTTCCTGGCTCCCAGAGATGCCTGGGCCAGTGCCTGGGCAGCAGTTTCCTGTGCTTTAGGAGCACCTCTGGGGGCTCAAGTGCCGATATACATAGAGGTGATTATTCATAGGGTTAGAATTTAGTAGACTTAGGTTGGTTCTCAAATGTGTGTCTGTGTGTGTGTGTTTGAATACTTAAGTTGTGCTTGTTGTTGATCTGCATATTGGGATATATGATTAAATTAAAAGCTAATGTAGATGTATTTGGAATTACCTGGAAATGCTAACCAAAGTGTCTTTGTAAGATTCAGCTTTAAAAAATATAACTTCCTTCCCCTTTCTCCCAAGCAGAAGCCAAGTACAAGAAATTAGAGAAGCGATGAACTACTTATTCCTGCAGGACAGTCTTTTTTAATGTGGAAGAATGTTTTATAAGACATGAATCCTGAGACTGATGAATTGTCAAAACTCCTCAGAAGGAACTATGCTGCTCATTCCAGAAATATGCCAACATTGGAGTTAACTGGAGGACTGTGGCCACTCCTGAATGTCTTTTGAGGCAGTATCCCTCAGAAACTCATACTAATAACTCCTTAGCTTTTACTTGAATGTTTCGTTGTCCATTCAGGACAGGGAGTCTTTCACAGTTCAGGATAAACCTGGGCTTGCCAGTAAAATCAAATGAGAGGAGGACCTATTTATTCCGGTAGTGGTTGATACTACGTTATGTTTTTAGAAGGCTGGTTTTTTAGCTACTCTGCAAATGGTGGTTCTGTTAACGATGCTAATGCATTGCTAACAAGATGCTGAATAAAAAAAAAATAATAACCTTGTTTTTTACATTTTATCACCTTGTAAATGTCAGTAATTTACTTTCCCATAGCATTGCAAATAACAGAAAATCTTAAAGTAATTCCAGGCCGAATCTTCTAGACTGAGCAGAAACAGTGAAAGAAGTGTTACCATGTCTTGGGGTACATGAGCCCCTGTTGTCTCTTCTCTGTGTGAGTCAGATGTTTGGGAAGTGAATGACATTGTGACATACGCCCCCTTTTGAAATGTGATTTATCACTAGACAGGATGGATGTGAATATGTGTGTTGGGTGGGGAGATGGGGATGTCATTCGAAAAAGAAAAATTTTTTTTATAACAGTTTATTTTTACATCATTTTGTAACATTTTTTTTTTTTCATCTCAATTGTAATCCTCGTGGGTTTCCCATCACCAGGTCTCCCATGTGCCATCACCATAGTCCCTTGCACTTCCCTCTCCCTCACCCCCTGTTTTTTTTTTTTTCTTTTTCCAAAAGTTTATTTTTACATCATTTTGCACATTTTTTTTTTCCATCTCGATTGTAATCCCCGCGGGTTTCCCATCACCAAATCACCCGTGTGCCACCACCATAGTCCCGTGCATTTCCCTCTCTCCCCCCCATTTTTGATCCCATTCCCACTCCACCCCCACAAAATATCTCTGGTATATGGTTGTTCATTATTTTTGATATTTTCTCGCCTGCTCCATTATACTCCTGCTATGAGTGAAACCATCCGGTATTTTTCTTTCTCTTTCTGGCTTACCTCACTAAGCATGATCTTTTCCAGCTCCATCCAAGTTGCTGCAAAAGACATGTGTTTCTCTTTTTTGGTTGCTGAGTAATATTCCATTGTGTATATGTACCACATCTTTTTAATACAGTCATCTACTTTTGGGCATTTGGGCTGCTTCCATGTTTTTCCAATTGTAAATAAAGCAGCAATAAACATGGGTCACCCCCCGTTTTTGGTCCCATTCCCCACTCCACCCCCACAAAATGTCTCTGGTATATGGCTGTTCACTATTCTTACTATTTTCTCACCTGGTCCATTATACTCCTGTTATGAGCGAAACCATCCGGTATTTTTCTTTCTGGCTTATCTCACTAAGCATGATCTTTTCCAGCTCCATCCAAGTTGCTGCAAAAGACAAGTGTTTCTCAAAAAAGAAAAATTTTAAAGAATTATTTTTATTTATTTATACATACAAAAAATGGAGTGTAGGCCAGAGATGCAAGGGATTGAGAGGATTCACCAGAGACAGAGTGGGGAGCAGAACAGGCGGATCTACTGAGACACTGCTGAGGGAAGCAGTGGGTGGGCCAGGAGAGCCTGCAGGGCCAGGAGAGGTCTCCAGCACCATGTGGGTCAGCTCCCTGGTGGGGATCAAACTCAGGCCATAGTGACTAGCCTTACCTTGATAACCATGAGATTTAACCCCTGTGCCACCAGGGAAGCTCCTGGAAAGAAAATACATATATTTTAAATAATATAATAGCTTATTTTTACATCATTTTGTGCAATTTTCCATCTCAGTTGTAATCCCCTTGGGCTTCCCATCACTAAATCACCCATGTACCATAACCAAAGACCAGTGCATTTCCCTCCCCCCACTGTTTTTGATCCCATTCCCCACTCCAAAGAAAATATTTTATAAAATACTTGCTTGCAGGCCCTCCCTGGTGGTGCAGTGGGCTAAAGCGCAGCACTAAGAAGCTAAAGCCACTTCAGCATGAGTTCAGTCCCCAGCCCCAGAGGTGACCCACATGGCGTGGCAGACCTCTCCTGACCCACCTGCTGTGCCCCTCCGCAGTATACTTGGTTGATCTGCCTGTTCTGCTCCCCACTCTGTCTCTGGTGAATCCTCTCACTACCCCTGCACCTCTGGTCTGTACCCCAGTTCTGTTTGCATAAATAAATAAATCTTTAAAATAAATATATATTTACTTGCAAGTGAGTGGGGTTACTGATCAAGTGTACCTGATTCTCTTCATTTAAGACTAAGACGTCAGGGGTTGGAGCAGACAGACTGTTCAGTCTAGTTTGGAAGGTAGGCAACCTCACCTAAGCCAGGTGTTAGTTTAGGTCCCTGATTCCATCTACAAAAGAGTTCTTAACTTTCTGCCATTTCCCACTGTCCCGGGCCACTATCTTCTATCCTCTGCTCTTTGGATTATTGCTGTGGTCTCTTCTCAACTGCGCCTCCAAAAGGTCCTCCATACCACTGCCAGAACATTCTCTCAAAAATGTAAACTGGCTAAATTAGTAATCTGCGGGGAATCCTTCAGTGATTTAATGGCCTGGGGCGGGGGTGGGCGGGGTGGGGGTGGGTTAGGGAACAAAAGCAAACCCAAAAAACCCAGAATTTTTAAAATTTGGAAACCAAAATTTTAATGAAATATTTTAATTCCCTTTGTGTTTCTGAGGATGAGCTAATCAGATATAATTTTCTTTGGCCCTTAATTAAACTTTGTATAATTGGGAAGGTTGTCCTTTATTAAACACTTTCCAACCGCGCTCCCGAAAGAAAAATCACCTGAAAGGTTTATGTCCTTCGGCGCTCTCCGTACATGACTGAATCCTCATTGGCTGGGAGCGCTGACGTCTTATTGTGGTGCGGTCGCATATTTCCGAGGAGGGGGTTTGTGGTATAACACATGCAACTGGGACCGATGGCTCAGAAGCCGCTGCGCCTGTGAGTGACCCTGAAGCTGAAGTGTGCGTGTGTGTGTGTGTGTGTGTGTGTGTGCATGTTTTAAAGGGTCTTGTTCGTGACTGAAAGGGAGACGAGAAGGGTGGGAACGGGAACTCAGATCGCTTCTTTCAGTGGTCGCCCGGCGGGAGCGGGAAGCTCGGATCCCTTCTTTCGGTTGTTTCCCCGACCTGTTTTGCTTCCTAGAAGGTAATCTCTTGGCGACACTCGCTGGGAGAAGCGGAAGCTGCCAGCCTCGGGTCTCAATCTTAACCAGCTCTGCCCCAGCACATAAGTTCCACTTTATCTCCTCATCATGTTTGTTTATTTTCAAACTTTTCTGGGCACGGATTCCATTGATAGACGCTGGTCAGTGGTGCACTATTTAGATAGATAGTACGCCTGCTCTCTAGGGCACCTTTTTGGGAGAAGAGGGCGCTCGGATGGTAGAGAGAGCTTCCACTATTCGTTGAACAGTTGCATTTTGTTCAGTAGGCACTGTGTTTAGGTATTGCACAGATGGAGTTTCTGCTTTAGTGGAATTTGTATTCTAGAAGAACATAAACCAGCCCAGTAATTGTAAGATCATGGTACTGGTAAATGTCAGGAAGAAAACGTTCACGGGTGTGGGAGAGTTTGTAATAGGGCTTAATATGACAGTTCCACGAAGTGAGGCTTGAGCCTAGTTGAGTAGTTTTGTCTTTATCCGTTAAAAGACAGAGAACTGTTTAAGATCAGTTAGCATGATCAAATTCTCATTTTGGAAACGATTGTGGCCGCTGCTTGGAGAATGAGTTAGAGCCAAAATAGAGCACAGCTGGATTTAGATAGAAGTCCGGATTTAGACAGAAGTGCAGGGATTCCATTTGTTAAGGTGTTGGACTCCACAGGGCTGGAAGATGATTAGGTTGTGAGGAGAACGAGCCAGCATTGTCAGGGGCCTGAATTTCTGTCTTTCTGTGGTGGGCTAGGAGACACTGGGTAAGAGGCCAGCTGAGAAGGAGGTGCCCTGTGATGGACCAACTGGATGATGACTCTCCCAGAAACAACCATAGTCACACATGACAACTGCTATGTTGGGGGAGGTGGGGGCTAGTGTGATGTGGGCACCAGGAACTGGTGTGGTCCCTAGAAGAGTTGGTGCTCATAAGATAAAAATGCCTAATAGTTTATTACAGAGCTTGCTCTGAAATGCTGTGTGGATTTCTGAAGTTTTGAGACGAGAGCAATTTTCAGAGCCTGGCAGGGAGGCTTTAGATGTGTGCTAGGCCTTGAAGGATGATCAGGTGGAACTGTTAGACATCACTGCCACAGGACTGGCAGAAGCAGAGAGTGATCGGATTGGTAGTGGGAAATGTTTCTGGTAGGATAATTTCGAGAAAGCACTAGGAAGAGCAAACAGGGACTTGTGGAAGGCTGTTTCCCAGGCAGTGGTGTGCTAATATTTTTGAGGAAAAAACAAGTGACTTTATGTAGGATGAATAGGAAGAAGAAAAAGCTTTAGAAGAAAATTAAGTGCATTTTATGCAATTAATATAATGCATTTCACTTGGCTTTATTCTCTTATAGTCTCCTACTATATCACAGGATTCTAAGTTGCTCAGCCCTATAGTTCTATCTGTATTTTCCCTCATACCTCATTTCCCATTGTACTTCTACACTCCATTTTTGTTCAAGTTCATAATTCTAAATTTCTCATTTGTTTCTCTCCTCCCCATCTTCATTTGACATTCCCTTTGGCAGGGATACTTCACTATAATCACATGTTCCTCCAGGCCTTCTTCTTTAAAATTCTTCTAAAGCAAAGGTAGTCATGTCACTACCCATCTTGAAAATGTTCTGTAACATGGGCAATAAAAGCATACCAGAAAAAAACATGCTGACAAAACATTAAGAACTGTGATACTTGAAGTTGGATTAAAAAACATTAAGAAGGTGATATGAAAAGTAGAAGAACCATGTAAATTAGAATTATAAAACTCAGAAATGAGATGATAGAATAAATTATTTCACAACTTGGGGTCAGTCTGATTTGTAAAGCTCAACTCTTGATAGTTTCTACTCTCTGCCTCTTAACATTTTAGCTCCTATTATTGGCCTTTTCATAACTATCAGAGGATCCCTTTCCATGATGGTAAGCTCTGTGAGGCTTTAACTGAGCCTCCCTGCTCTTTGTACTCCTGAGATGTCTTAACATAGTGTGTGGATATTGCACTTAGCATACTGTTGGTACCCCAGAGTGTATTTGATGAGTGGATGACTGACATCCTCTGCTGAGATAGTGGCAGTGGAAATAAAGAAGGACAGAAGGAATGTGAAAGATATTTGGGAAAGGGAATGATGAAATGTAATGATTGGATGAGGAATTTTTGACTTTTGAATTTTGACCCATGCACAAAACTTGGGAAGAGAGAAGAAGCTGGTTCAATTTTGGAGGAGATAAGCTAAACCTTAGATCTGATGTCTTGGAAGTGACACTGAGGCCTTAGGCAGAGCGGTCAGTAATAGGTCACATGCACTGAACCTTTAGGGGACCTCACAGAGACTGGATCACTTATCTGTTAAATCCAGGAAAATTGGCAGGCCTGCTTATGTTTCCTGAATAGCCTTAATGTTTATCTTTTTTTGCAGCTT